AGGATTAGAATAAGTGTAAAAATGATTTTTTTAAAAATTCATAACCTCACATTTTGTTGTAAAATGTTCTGTGCTCATCTCAAAGCGCTCTCAAACCCACAGGAAATACTTACACGGTAAAATCCTTGGATTTTAAGAACTTTTACCTCTTCTTAATATAACTTCTTCTCGCTTTGAAGTTATCGACACGTAATTTTGAAGGAAAAATAACTAAAATCAACAGAATCAGGGACTAAGTCATCCATATTTGTCTTATTTTTCCCCTGAAATTGAAGATTTCAAGAAGCTGAAGTGATTTTTCCTAGAAATTGTGCAGATTCAGCCACATTATCTCCTCCTTGGGCTGAACTAATGTGATTGCGGAGAATTGTCTGCGGATGCTGTGTTCGATATATCGAGATCAATGCACCAAGGGTGCGAATGAGAGTGAAAGTTTGTGCAAACTCATGATTATTTTCAAATAAGCGCCCACTGACAATCCGCGGCTGAAACACACGCATAAACACGATTGTCCAGAGAACAAACAAACATAGAAAATGGGCGCGAAAGAAGTGCAAAATATATCAAAGAGACGCCTTTGTTTTGCGTGCGTCCGTCTTTGACGATTGAAAAAAATTCGACCCATTTTGCACTGCAATTCCCCTCAATTTTTTGCACTCCACGCGCAATTATGCTTTCTGGGGAGGGAAAAAATGGTGGTGCAATAAATAAAATTAAATGATTCTTCATGGCATCATGCGAGAGTCCGTCATCTATTTCTGGCGGCGGCAATAACATCGGCGTCGACCCACTTTTCCGCCGCGAATGTAGTGGAAATCAGTCTATCTTATTGTGCCACAAACTCTCTTGCACGCTGACGCCTGAATCAAATGCTAAATGACGATTAAAGACCATCCATGCGATTTTCTAATCATATATCGAAAAGTCACTACAATTACAACGTCGTCTCGTCTTTTGATGTATCGCCTTTTGATCGGGGCGGATTTTCTTTGTTGCGAAACAGCGCGCGCGAAAGGAAGTGAGCTCAATTTGAGGAAATCACTTTAATCCACTTCCATCGACTGTTCTTTTTCAAGACACATTTCTTTCGCTGAAATTGCTTTTCACACAACTGGTGATTTTGGGCATTTTCTGCAAGTCTGTCCAGTGAGTTTTATATGTTAAGCAGCATTGCGGAAAAGTTTCTTATTAGAATTTATGGAAATGTCCTGCAATTGCAATGGAAGGATAAAACTTTTGCCCATTGCAAAGCGGTCAAACTTTCTCAATAATCCAGGAAGAAAAGAATTGTAAAGTCAAGAATTGTGGTGAAAAAGCTAAAGAAACACAGAGAGAAAAATTTAGGGTAAAATCAAGGGTTAATTCAAGTGACTTAGAGCGATTACAGACATGCAGGTGATCCACGGTGATCCCTCGATATATCGAAGGTTCAACCGATATTTAAGGGGTTTTCGAAGGCAACGCACTCGGCCGAATATGTGCCGAAACATTTCACAGCACAAAATGGCGGATCTTTTGCATGATTTCGTGGACTCTCCATTTTGTGAATCTTCAATTTTCGCAATTTTATCTTAAATTTCACACTTTCTGATAAAATAAATCAATTGACAGCTGAGAACGGGACACGAAGCAAAATTGTCGCTAGTGTCGACAAAGAAGAATAACTTCTGAGTGTGTTTAGCGCCAAATCAGCCACGAATTATCGCTGATCTGACCTCAGACTGATTGATCCCAGTTTGCGCCGTTTCGAGAGTAACCTGCAAGTCTGTAATCGCTTTTATTGACATATTGCCACCAGAGGGCAGCAAGTTAAACTTTAAAGACATGTAAAAGTTCCGATTGTATTTTTCAAGTCTCAAAAGCTTCTCAAGAGTTGATTTGAGAGATAATTGGGTTGTTTCTAGTGAATTTGAGTGATTTCTTCACGAAAATGAGTTATTTTTGAGCGGAGTTAATTGTATAAAGTGTTTCTTGTTTGGAAATTTCTCTCTGTGAAGCGATTAACAGTGACGAATTGCATAAAATTGAGTTCTGAGAGAAAATTCGCAACACTTCAAAGAGCTGCCACTGAATTGTTCTCGCTGAAATCTCTTTGAGAGAATGCGGGTTTATTCATCAATGGCTCCACTTCTGATGGACATTGTATCGTCAATTTATTGTGGAATTTTCTCTGGGTTTATAAATGCAAAACACACACACTGAAATCCCGCTCATGTTTACGAGATAATTATTGTTATTAGAGACGCTAATCGCTGGGCAGTGCGACGGAGTCGTGAAGTATGATGAGTGTGGACGTGTCTATGATATTTTATAATAAATGATGATGATTGTGTTTCAGCCAAGCACAACAAAAGGAAGCTCTCTGCACAGTGCATTAGATTGAGTAGAGTTGACGGCGGTTGATGTGGAGATTATCATCATTGAAATGCGGTTCATTTAGTGAATTAATCTCAATTCACTGTAATTTGTTGGCGTGTCCATTTTAATAAATGTGTGCTCTCCTATGATAAAATGCTGAAATTACACAGAGAGAGAGAGAAAAAGTGCGACATGTTGAGGATACATTTTAATTAAGCTCCGCGATACGCGCTGAAAGTATCTCTTGTGTGCTCAAACATCGGCTAACATAAAAGTCATTCACTTTTGTAATTAAATGTAACAACGCTACGTACACACGATCATTTACGATGCAATACTCAAGATTAATTGGGTGGCGACTTGGCGAAAAAAAGGCTCATCTTCTTCTTGTTGCGCTTGGAACTCCTCGATATATATATCGATATATCGAATATATTGGAATTGTGCGGGGCGGAAAATTGGGTCACTCTTCGCACACAGTTCCTGTCGTGCCCACTGATTTTCCGTGCACGCAGAAAAGTGTTGTCATTCCCGGTGAATTGAGTCTCCAATGGAGAAATGGTGGGCGTTTAATTTGATTAGCCATTCTTCCATCCAACATGGTAAATCACGTGAAAAATCTGTGGGCAAAAGTTCACAGCGGTGAGCATTCTTCTCTGTTTTTTGGGCTGGAAGAGCCAGAAATGAAATATCACGGTGTCATTCTGTAGTAGCGGAAAGAATGGTGATGAATAGAGTTGGAGGAGGTGATTTGGAAAAGGGCATTCACACACTGACACATTCCAAATGCTCCCTGAATTTCTGCTCAATGCCTTGTTGGGAAAGCGCTAGCGTCGCACGTTGCGGCCATGTTTGATTTTGTGTCACTTTTAATAGAAAAGCACACTTTATTATCTTCTGTAATCCTTAAAATGCAGCATAATATGCAAAACAGTTTGCAATTCAATGTGCAAATCATTCAAATTTACAATTTATTGTTAGCGTCAGTCGGCCATTTTAAAATGGCGACCCAAGCCATCTCTGTATCTCGTAAAAAAGAGGATCAGAAGCGTTCAAACTTCGGTTCAAACCTAGATAAGTCGATAGGAAATGGAGAAACTGAGAATAATTCTCACTTGTCAGTGAGCTGTCAATTTGACAGCCTTGTTTATCCATTTATTCAAGTTCTCTAAATCTTACAACACAGACTTACTGTTTACCCTCGAATCGGCGCAAACTGGGATCAATCCTCCGTGGATGAGCTTGAAGTGTGAAAAGGTCAGATCAGCGATAATTCGTGGCTGAATTTGCGCTAAATGCACTCAAGAGTTATTCTTCTTTGTCGACACTAGCGACAATTTTGCTTCGTGTTCCGCTTTAAGCTTATTTTACCAAAAAACCAGAAATTTTACGATAAAATTGCGAAAATAAGCGCGCTGCCGTCGAAAACTCTATAAATATCGGTTGAACCTTCGATATATCGAGGGATCAGTCACGTTTTATGGCTTAACCAACCTCTCGTGGCTCACCCGCTAGTGTGTATTCGCTCTAAGTCTCAAATGATCAGTTTACTGTGAGTTTTTAAAGAGAAAATTGAGTTTGAACTTTACGTAATCAAGGGATTTTCCAGACACCCTGATCGCCCCACCCTTTGAACTCCTCTCAATGGCCTTTTATTTCACGATGGGCTATTTGCCACTCGCTCTTTTCCTCCTCTGGAAAATATCACACATAAAAGTGCTGGCAAAGCGCGCGCAAATTGAACAATATATAATGGGAACATTTTCGTATGTTTTTCTCTCTAATTTATTGGCCATTTCAATTTAATTGGACGCCACAATAATCATTCTCTCATCTTCTCTCCCAACTCACCGACGAGAAGAGGATTTACAACTTGTGCTTTTATCAGACGGAAAAACCTACACAGTGAAATTTGCTTTTAATACGACAGCGAGGCTGATGAAATGGGATTATTTAAATGACAGTCCCACACAGAATGATTAGTGCTGGTGAACATGGGGAAAAACGGCAAGAAAGTGGGCCTCTTTTTCCCACCCAAATTCACTGATATTGCGCCCGTATCAGAGGCGATAATGTGACTTCTATTGCAGTGAGAAGTTCGGTAAAGCCGCGTTCACACTGTCACGGCGCCAGTATTTCGATTGGCTCTCTTGGCTGATATTGAACATTGATTTATTTGGTCATCGAACCAGCTGGAAATCATATTTATTAATTGTGTGTAAGCTTGAGTGTGGACAAATTTGGATATGCGCGCTAGAGAGAGAGAAATATGATAAATATAATTGTGTGAATTTACAATTCAACAAACGTCGCCTTTTTCGGGCGCCACGCTCAAACGGAAGGAATACATATGCTTATATTAATAAATTGCTTAAGCAATTTATTCCCGAGAATTATCGCAGTTGAGGGCTTTGATAAGAAAAGTGTTCAGGGAAAAAAATTACAGCTCATAACCGTCATATTTCCGCTTTGATTCGGATCTAGCAGTGAATCATCGCGTGGCTAAGAATTTTATGATTCATTAGAATACAAAGGCTCATGAGCTGATAATATCAGTGGAATTTTCACTAAGAAGAATGAAAACTAATTGGATTTTTGTCCATTTGCGCCCTATTGATCGGCTCTCCTGTCTTTTGTTGCAGAAAACCCCAAGGATTGGTCCGATCATGCCCTTTGGTGGCCGGCAAAGAACACCTGGCTGACCCGAACGCGATCAACCCTCGATCAGTGCGGCGTTCATGCTGACAGCATTCTGCATTTCACACCGATGCACAAAACACTGAGAGTTCAGGTATGTAATTTTGACAGTGGAAATGCGATTTCCAGAACATATTTCACTCAAATATCGACTTTTCTAACGATTTCTTCGATACATAACCTCACAATTTATTGATAAATCCTTTGAAGAGTTTCAATATCTTGATTTTTCTGAAAATGGCGGCCTATGGAGGTTCAGGCTTTGGTTAAGACAATAAATTCCACATTTGAGGTTATGATAAGTTAGAAATTAATGTCAAAATGACCCAAAAAGTCCAGAAAGTGCAGAAAATAGAGAAAAATTTACTTTTACGCAAGTATTTCTGAAGTTCATAAGCGCCATATTGAATTTGCTTCTCTTTAGCTTAAAGTTATCGACAATAAGATATCGACAATCCATTTTAACTAAGTTTTAACACAATGTCTGAGAAAAACTAGTTTAAATAACAGTTTAAGGACTATTTTGTCAATTTCAGGCCTATTTTTCCCCTAAAATTGTGTTAAAAATAGGAAATTGCATGCAATTCGTATCGATAAGTGTCGATAACTTACCTACACTTCAACCTAATTCCGATTAAGCCTTAGAGATTCGATATCTTGTTAAAACTTGGTTAAAATCCATTTTCACGCCAAGGTTTCCAATGATTTCACATTCAGAATGTGAAATTTTTGTACTTTTTTCTCAATTTATCTCCCCCTTGGTGTGATACAAATTCGCATCGATCATGTGAGATTCAAAAACATGTCATTTGCTTCAACTCTTCTCACTTCCAAACTACTTTGCATGAGAATGCAGAGGAAAAGAAGCCCAATATTTGGCAGCCAAAAGGAATTATTTATTCCTCCCAACATTCCGAATATCGCTCCAATCTCAGGCACCGGACACTGTAAGTCATCACAAGGTGGATTGTGGCTGATTTCCAATTCACAAACTGTGAGTAGGATTCCGGCGAAGAGACACACCAACTACAAATCTATCGCGTGTGGGCAGATCGATTTGCAAGATTGGAATTTTGTGTGGACGTACATTTCGTATTAATCGCCAAATGCTTTTATGAATGGCCGGGAAAAATGGGTGCGACTTCTTGCATCTCTCGAGTGTGTGTCTGTGGCCCGGAAAGGGGCGCGCATTGGCCAACAGGAGCGCCCTTCTGGGCAGGACTTTCGAGAGTTGCATTCGCTGCTCCTGGATGTGCACAAAATTAACTGTGTCAAAGTCATTAAGTCCGCGCGCTTGTGGTGCAATTGTTGTAGGTGTTTCGCACACAGGTTCTCCCTTGTGTGCCAATGTAATGAAATTCCACACGAGATTTCTCTCCTCACGAGCTGTCACCGCGTTGGACACAGATCGCGCACGTCCACAAGCTCTCGCGCACACACTTTTCCATCCGTTCGCCCAGAGTTTCTCAGCGCAGCGCAAAGCGCCTTATTTGGATTGACGTACAATTTCATGCACACAGGTTGTTGTTTTCACGTCGCTCTTCGTACACCGTCAATAAATGTGTGACATAGTGGAGAAAAATACCAGCGAGCGCAAAAAATGGATATGAAAACACAAAAATTGTACTCTCAATGCTACTCGCGCGAGCGCTTGTGTGTGAATATTCGCGAAAGTGACGCAACATTTGCATAGGTTGATCTCTTGAGGCTACCGAGATTGCAGCGATCTCTCCTGCCATATGTTGCACTCTTTGGGAAATCTGCCCGCAATCAATCCACACATCGCCCTTTCCCGCCACACGATCGATCGCCATGCGATCAAAGATGATCGTCCGTCATCTGACGAACGCAATTTTGCAATCCAAGCAGCGTTTTGAGCGCTGTTTTGGCTGGGAAATGGCTGGAAAGCGAAAGACAATGGCTTAAATAGGGAGAGGCAATTGAAATAGCTTTCACTTGGCGTGAACAGCACTGAAAAAGCTCAATTAGTTCTTTTTTAATCCATAATCAAAGATAAAAGAGCATCCAAAGCACTTCTGAAATGGTCAGCGTGGCCAAATGACTTGATAACCATGAAAATCGCGCCTGGAAACTTAATGAAATCATTAATTGGTCAGTCTGGCCAACTCCTTTAGGGCAATTTATTGAAAAGCACTTAGACTTCCTAACATATCTCCCCCTTGAAGCCTCCTTGATTCCCTTGATTAATCGCCTGCTCCGTTGCAGCTGCCGGACCTGCGCTACCTGGATTGCCGCGTGGACTACTCGGCGAAGACGTTCAACGCGGTGGTGAATCTGTGCAAGGATCTGGGCATCAGACACCCGGAGGAGCTGTCGCTGCACAAGCCGCTGCAGCCGGGCTACCTGAAGCGCAACTACGCCAGCCTGCCGGCGACGCGCGTGGCGGTGGACCAGAACGGCTACCTGCAGCCGGCGCCGGACACCAACACCTTCATCCCGACGCACTCGAGCGGGCTGCACGGCAGCAATGGCAGTCTGGAGGCCAGCCACAACGGCGGCCCCTTCAGCTGCGCCCCCGTCCACCACGCGCCGTCGCCGCCGCGCCAGACGCACGTCACGCCCATCAGCTCGCCGTCGGGCACGTGGAACCGCGGCCAGAACGGCCACACGGTCCTGCACGAGTCGCTGTCCAGCCTGGGCGAGATCACGGAGAATCTGGCGTCCAGTCCCAGGGCGCCGAGCCCGGAGGCGCGCTCGCGCATCGTGCGGCCGCGCTCGCTGGTGGAGCGCGCCCGGATGAACGTGGGCTGGCTGGACTCGTCGCTGTCCATCATGGAGCAGGGCATCCGGGAGTTCGACACGCTGTGCCTGCGCTTCAAGTACTACACCTTCTTCGACCTCAACCCCAAGTACGACCAGGTGCGCATCAATCAGCTGTACGAGCAGGCGCGGTGGCAGCTGCTGAACGAGGAGATGGACTGCACGGAGGAGGAGATGCTCATGTTTGCCGCGCTGCAGGTGAGAACATCCTCCGAATCCCCTCATAAATTCAATGAATCTCTAACCCGAATCCCTCTCGGCAGCTCCAAGTGGGCCTCCAGAGCGAGATCCAGCAGCCGGACTCCGGCATCGACACTTCCAGTCTGGACAATGGCGCCGATGACGACATCGACGCCGCGCTGAGCGAGCTGCAGATCACTCTCGAGGGGCCGAACAACAAGAACAACATCGGCGACATCACGACGATACCCGAGCTCACGGACTACCTGCGCTTCATGAAGTGCGTCCGCCTGGCCAACTTCCGCGTCCAAAGACTCACTCTCTCGCTCTCTTGCAGGCCCAAGAAGTTCGCGCTGAAGTCCTACAAGCGCTACTGGTTCGCCTATCGGGATCTCCATCTGTATCTGTACAAGAGCCGCGAGGAGGCGAAGGGCGGCGATGCCGCCATCAGGATCAACTTGCGCGGCTGCGAAGTGACGCCGGAAGTCAACCTGGCGCAGGGAAAGTTCAATATCAAGCTCGAGGTGCCGCCAGAATACTCTTCGGGGCCAAACAGCGAAATGTGGATCCGGTGTGAGCACGTAAGTTGATCCTGAAGTCCTTCAGGAGCAGGAAACCGACGAAAATAGATGAAATATTGATTCTAGACATTGTAGGCCATCGTTTGATCGCCTGAACTTAACTTTTTCCCACCGAAAAATCTAAGAAAAGCTCTTTATTTCAAAAGATGCCATATATTTCATGTTTCGGCTGCGGCCATCTTGAAAAATGGCGTCCAAGCCTCTCAGTTCACTAAACAAAACACAAATACGATCATCAAGTGTCTTAAGAAACAGATTGTGGCCAAACGAGATGCTTTTTGAAAGCATTTTCACGTTCTTTTCGTCACTTGACGCCATTAAAACTCTGATCAATCACGAAGCGCTGCGAACGTTAGATTTTCAAAGCCTTTGAGGCCTACAAAAGTGTCTTTCTCTCTCTCTGCAGGAAGATCAGTACGCCAAATGGATGGCCGCGTGCCGATTAGCGTCCAAGGGCCGCTCCCTGGCCGACAGTTCATATGAGAACGAGGTGTCGAGCATAAAGTCCTTCCTCAGCATGCAGAAGCCCGCGCACGCGCCCGCCATCAGCATAAATCCGGACAACATCGATCCCGCGGACTACGTGGCGCCGCGCTTCCTCAAGAAGCTCAAGGGCCGGACGGTGAACCGGATCCTGGAGGCGCATGCGAACGTGAAGGATCTGCCGCTGGTGGAGAGCAAGCTGAAGTTCATTCAGGCGTGGCAGAGTCTGCCCGAGTACGGCGTTACGCTGTTCGTGATAAAGTTCGACGGGCACAAGAAGGAGGAGCTGCTGGGCGTCGCCAGCAATCGCATCATGAAGATGGACATCAATACGGGTGATCACTTGAAGACGTGGCGCTACAACACGATGAAGGTGAGGCGGCCATTTTGAAAGTCTCCTTAAAATGTGTTTTCTTCAGTTGCTTTGTTCTTATAGAGTGGATTTGTGTGAAATTTCAGTATGTTGTGCCTGGCGTTGAGACCTTTCCAACGTACCAACAGTTTAGGTTCTAGGTCCTTCCAGACCCTGGTTATTGGAATTCAAACATTTGAAATAAATAAGGCCATAACTTTGGTTCTAATTGCTCGATCGCAATGATTTTGATGTCACTGAAAAGCTCTAGCAAAATGCTATTCTTCTTCCAAATGAAACTATTTGATAAAATCATCGCTAGGGGCGCTAAAGTCACAAATATGTTACTTCAAACTTTAAAGTCGAATATCTCGAAAATAAGACGATGTATTTTCTTCAAATTCTGGTGTGTTATAGCTGAGGTTGAGACCTTTTCAACGAGCCTCAATTTATGGAGATTGATAATATAGAAGAGGAGATTTGGGGGTTTAAAGTTTATAGAGTTGTTTTCTGCCACTAAAAACTTCTTTTCTGGCTTCTTTTCGCAGGCGTGGAACGTGAATTGGGAGATCAAGTGCATGATGGTGCAGTTCCAGAACGAGAACGTGGTGTTCTCGTGCCTGTCGGCGGACTGCAAAGTCGTGCACGAGTTCATCGGCGGCTACATCTTCATGTCGATGCGCTCCAAGGACACGAATCAGACCCTCAACGAGGAGATGTTCCACAAACTCACCGGCGGTTGGGTGTAAAACGAGGGGGTGGAGAAGCGCGGGCGGGTGGGATTAACATCGAAGTGAAACTGTTAAAAACTGTGTAAATATACTTTTAACTGTTGATTCTATTTACTTACTAAATCATTGATGTAATTAATCTACCGTGTCTTAGTTGATGATAAGAGAAAACTAAAAAAAAAAACAAGTAATAAATTGTGCCTCAAATTGTTGCAAAGCTCTGCACACAATTTCTTACATTATATTATTATTATTATTATTATTATTGAGAGATCCTTAACGAGTAGCTGAGCAGTTTTAATGTTGAGAGAAAAGAAGATGAAGAAAAACCGTGTACGGCAATAACTGATTAGATGTTTCTTATTAAAGATTTTAAAAGTATTCGTTCTCCTAATATTGCTCCTCCAAAATGGCTTCCTTCAACCCCTAATAATTGCGCAATAACGGGCAAAATCGAGCAACACGAGCAATCTTGAAAGAAATTTCTACAACTTATTGTATTGTACGATTTATGTGTATATAAAATGTTTTAAAATACCACAATTTCGGCTGTTTTTCTCTCTTTATTCTCGCAAATTAAGTGGAAGTTTCAGTCTGAAGACGTTGAGCTTTTTCTGTGCGCCGTTGCGGGGAAACCCTTCGACTGCGTCTGCTGCTGCTGAATGCTTTTGTTGATGTCGTAGCCGAAGATGTTCAGGTACTTCCCTCTGGTCATCTCTTTGGCCTCCTGCACGCCCAGCACGTACGCCTGATCGTAGATCTTCTTCAGATCCAGCGCCAGAGCCGTCGGCGTCAGCTCTCCCAGCTCTAAAGGGGCGAAAAAGTGGCAAATTAGGTGGGGATTTGGAGGGTTTTTCGCACAAAAAAAGCAGTTACTGTGCATCGCGGCGATGTCTTCGGACGTTAATCCGCGCGACCACGAAGGCGGCGTTGGCGAGACGGAGGAGCGATTGTTGCTCGACGAGATGAAATCCGTGACGCCTGGAACTGGGGAATCAATGAGGGAAATCAAGGAAATTCCACTGACAGCTGAAAACTCACTCTTTTCAGGCCACAATTCCGGTGAAGCGCGATCGAGATTCTCCAGGCTCAGCAATTCCTCCAATTCAGCACTCTTGTCTGCAAGCAGAGCGATTAAGAAACACCCGAAGATGTGCGATAATCAGGGAATTTCCTACCGTGCTTGGAATTTTCAGAGTTTTCCTCGTCGCTACTCATTGTTGATTTACAAAACTTTCTCACCACTTGTCAAACGAAGATGGCCGACAACTTCACGATTCTCACCTTTTCGACCTGTTCGACTTTTTCTAGCAGTTTGAAGCGGTGAAATTTTCATGAAAAATAAAAATTTTAAATGTTGAAATATTGAATATGATGAAATTAGCGAATTTCACAAAATTCACTCGATTGTGTAATTTTTAAATCATTCTTTAATGTGAGAATTTCTTCATACAATGTCTTTGGTTATTGAGTAAAATTCTTGTAAATTTCAATTGCGTGAAATATTTCATCCAACATTTCATCGTGCAGTTGAAAAGCCGAACCATCTTCTCACCCCCACTCCGCCTCGCACAGAGCTGTCAAAGTCGTCGAGCGTGAAAGTGACAGTGGAGAGATTTTTTCAACCAGAGAATTTACAGGATCTCAGAAAAGTTCCCCATTTAGTAATTTTGCAAGCTAGATTTATTGACGAAAGCACAGCAAAACAGTTGTATTGTCGCATAAGTAATGGCTACGCAGAAGATGAGAAATGTCGGAAGTCTCAGTCAAGTGACGACGATCTTCTTCGATTTGGACAACACACTCATTCCCACCCGAAAGGCGGACGCCAAGGCGTGCAATAAGGTACGTGTTTGTGCCCAGGCATGAGTGAAAGTATCGATGAAAAACCTGCCCAACGGGCCCCAAAAAGGCCCATGGGCCGTGCGCTGAAGGTGACACGAGGAAATGTGTATAGTTTCCGAGACCTTGAACTTATTGTGAATCTGCGCGCCTCGCGACCTTTATCGCAGTGTCTCAGAAAATTTTCCCGTCAAGAATGTTTTTCAACGACGCGGGAGGCCTTGAAATACTCGCTTCATTTGCGCGTTATGCGATATTTCACTTTATTTTCCATTAGTAGGAATTAATGTTGGCGCTAGAAGGAAGTGTGTTTAGATAACAATTTTGGGTGATGATATTTCGAGGAATTTTCCCATCACACGGGTCACTGTCAGGGACACAAAAACCACCCAGAGCAGTTGTGTAACGCTGATAAAGGCAAAAATGCGGAGAAATACCAGAGAAATCAGTGGGAAATAATTATCAGAATTAATGATTAGTGACGTCACATGGTATCACATGTTTAGCGTGAGTGGGGAGAATTTAAAGTCGCGGATTGAAATATTTCACGCACATTGTTTGAAATTTACATTAGCCAACATCTTTTGTTCTCTCTGTGACTTTGATTATTTGCACCCGCTCAATGAATTAATTCAAATGTGGCACCTAAATTTAGCGCTATTGTGATACTGAGAAACACTGCGAATTCGACCTCTTGACCTGTCTCAGGGCGTGATTTGTTGGCATCATGCGAATGTTCACTTATCAGGTCAACGACACAAACTCATTTAGCAAAGCAGTAAAAGATTTGAGACATTTGAGATTGAGATCTCACAGTATTTTTCCGCTATTTGCAGTAAATGACAGTCAATTGTCTGCGCATTTTCGTGGAATATAACGCCCTTTTCGGGTTTGGGGTTAAATATATGGAAAGTTTATGGCCCGGTTTGTGGCTTAGTCATTATATTTTGACAACCACCTGTTCTGTTTGACTCATAAGCGCAACGAAAATGAGTGATTTTCAGGGTTTCTCAATGGAATATCCCAATTTCAAGTCCAACTTTTACTTGTGGACAGTTCAAGATCTCTTTAACACTTCTGCCAGGCTTCAATAAATGTATTTGTCTCAAATTGTGACCAAAAATTTGAACTGAATTCTTCATTTTTATTCAGTCCTATGAAAATCAATTAAAATTCTTTTGGATCCAAAACTAAAGCATAATTGATGAAAATTTGTTCCTTTTGCACTTTTAATTTTAAATTTTCACACTAAATGCATCTTTTCGACATTGTCGTGAAATTTCTGAAAATTTCAACCGAAATATTAATTTCGCGGCGCCTAAATTCACATCGATGACGTCACGTCACATGTGCGGCTGTCAGTGAAAAAGTGGGGAATTTCTTTTGGGAACGTTTTCTTGCGTATTTTCCTAATTACCTCGCTGTAGAATGTGGAAATGAGTGAAAATACTTTTCCCAGCATTCGTTCACGATGCCAATATGTATAAATAATTGAGTGATTAAGCGGATTAAAGCCACAGAAGGTTGAAAAACAGCCTGAAAGTGAATTCTAACCTCAAAGAGAAATACTTTGTTTGTTTGTTTGGTTTTTTGGGGGAAAATTCCTGCGAACATTCTCGGGATTTTCAGTGCTCGCGTGTGCAGAGAAGAGACTGGAAGCCAGAGAGAAGATCATCTCCAGATTTAGACTCTGGGGGCAGGGCGAAGGCGTCTTAAAATAACCTCGGGAATTCTCTCTGGTGCGTCGCGCGAGTGCGAGTTTCAGTTCAGTCGCGACGCCAGAAGTGTGCGGAATTGATGTTGAGACAGTGATTTTGGGAAGAAGATCACAGTGAAGATGGCCGAGGCGATTGCGGAGCCGATTAAGAAGTGCGTGGCGATTTTGGGGGCGGCCAAGAGTGACACGGAGAAGTTCGCGGCGCTGTTTATGGTGACGAAGCTGGTGAAGGGCAAGGATTGCACGGATGTGGCCAAGAAGGCGCTCTTCGACTCCATCGGCTTCAAGTTCCTGAAGAAGCTCATCCTGGCCGACAGCGTGCCGGACGACTGTCCGCCGATTGTGTACAAGAGCGTCGCTCTGTCCATCCTCACCAGCTTCTGCGAGTTGGAATCCTTGGCCACCAGCAAGGACATGCTGAGCAACATCCCAGTCTTCTTCAGCATCATCGAGAGCGCCGACGACGAGGACGACAATGACAACCTCATCGTCGTCACGGAGTCCTACAAGTGCCTCCAGGCGATGGCGCAGTTCGAGCCTGGGCAGAAGGCGCTGCTCGAGGCGCAGGCGATCTCGCGCCTGGCGCAAATCTATGCGCAGAAGAGCTTCCAGACCGACGAGGCGCTGCGCCTGGTCGTGATTCTCACCAGCAAGTTCGGGCCGCAAGCCTGGGGCGCCGATGCGAAGGTCTTCAATGCCCTGATCACGCGCATCGGGCTGGACTTCGAGACGGATCACTCGGAGAGGAAGTTCGAGGTGTGCACAATCCTGGCCAGTTTGCTCTTCACGTGCAATCGCGAGGCGGTTCTGCCCACGCTGGAGGGCGAGATCTGGCCGGAGAGCATCTACAAGGGCCTCAATGACATCCTGAAGAGCAAGATTGGCAAGAATCAGCGCGATCCCGCGCTCAAGCTCGCCGCCCAGGCCGTGGAGCTGCTGGGCATCGAGTGGACGCTGAACGACGAGGAGAAGCCGAAGCAGTTCTATCTGCTGCTGCTGCAGCTCGCGGCCATCGAGGTGCGCATGCAGATGGACAACAAGTCCTTCAACCAGACCTGCACTCAAGCCGACCTCATCACGGCCTGCTTCGTGATCCTCGAGCTGTCCGTCAACTATCTGGCCACGGACCAGCTGGAGCTGGAGCAGAAGGAGAAGCAGCAGGTGTACACGGCGCTCAAGGGCGCCTTCAGCGGCGTCATGAGCGTCCTGACCAAGCTCAGCTCCAGCGAGGCGCGCAACAGCCTCGCCGGCAAGGACAAGGCCTTCGCGGCGGCGATGGTGCGCGTGCTGGGCGCCTGGCTGGCGCAGGAAACCACCGCGATGCGCCCCGCGCTCTATCAGGTGAGACAGGGACACGACAAGGGGGGAAATGTCTGACGATTTGTCAGCAGACAGTCTGACGATTTCATTAATATTCCATCATTTGTGGCAAATTAATATAAAAATGCGGTCAGGAAAAGTAAAACCTTGAGTTAAACCTCATTTTATCAGTAAAAAGATATTTTTGATCAGAAAAAAATTAAAAATATTGATTTTACATTGATTTAAGTAATTGTGGCAGAAGAAAAAGCCATAAAACAGAAAATTTCCGTTTTTTTACCATTTCTGTCAAAATTTTTCGATTTTCGAGAGATTGTGAAAATTTAATTCCGATCAAAAAATTTTTTGCATCAATATTTTACTGATATTTTTTCAAAAAATACCTATCAAAAGGGAAAAGCATAATTTATTTTAGCTATTTTTTTTTAACATTTTATAGCTCAATTTTTTAATTTCATTAAGTTTTAATCGATTTAATCATCGATATTTGAGCAAAAATTAAGATTTTTACAAATAAACCTTGAAAAAAGTTATGCTTTTGTTCAAATTTAAATTATTTTCGGAGTATTTCAAAGTTAAGAATCTTCTTCCGCATTATAAACATCAAATGTTTAGTGAAAAATGAGCATTGATTGAAGCTAACTAAATTAGCAATTCAAAATGTTTGGGTTCGAATCCCAACAAGATACAAATTGAGAAACATTTTTTTCCATTAATTTACAAACCAAATTGAATCTAGAAGAGCTCAAATATTTTGTAAATCTAGTAAATCAATAGAGTTAGTAAGATTTTCAATGTTTCTCAACGGTTTTTGCACAAAAAATCTTACAATATTGAGAAATTGAAATTTTGAGCGCAATTTCGTAAACAATATGCTGATATTAATGATTCTCAAAGCCATAAAATTGCTCAAATGCGTGGCAGAAAGATGCCAAGAATAAACTGATGATGTCACAAAGTGAATCTCAGAAATCACGTGTGAGAACTTCGATTCTTGCCATTTTAGGTGCTGCCTTTCATGTTCCAATTGGCAAATGCGACGTTCTACGAGAGTCGACAGTATCGGCTGGATAATAAGGCCAATCCGGAGGCGCCGGAAGGGCCGCCGGACGTGCTGCGCGTGATGCTGCCGGCGCTGTGTCACTTGGCGGTGGAGGACAAGGCGCGCCAGGTGTTGTTCAAGACGAAGCAGGACGAGGCGCTGTTTGAGTGTCTGGCCTTTCACTTCTCCGTGGCGCACTGGAAGCGTCCGCCGGTGCCGCGCGCCGAGCGTCTGAAGAGGCTCAATGAGCCGGAACCCGTGCCGACGCCGCGTCAGCGGGAGGAAATGAAGGATTCGCGCGCAGCAATTGTGAGTCTGTGCAATATTTTCATGAATTTGACCGTGCTGGAGGCGAAGCACGCCGAGGAGAGTCTGCTGTTTGGCAATCTGCTGAAGTTCATCTTTGAGAATCTGCCAGAGCTGAAGGACACGCCGGACAATCTGGTGATGCACGGACACTTGGCGGTGCTTGGGCTGCTGATGCTGAAGCAGCAGGCGAAGAAGGTGAAGAAGAATGACTTCTCCATCTGTCGCTATATCCAGGCCACCATCAGATTCCTCTGGGATGCGTACATTGTGGACGAGTCCAATGATCCCACGGCGCTGGTCGTGTCGATTGCGTACAAGGAGCACTGGATGGAGATCGCCGAGCTGTGGTTCCTCGGCATGCAGACGATGTCTGGTGTGATTCTGCAGATCCCGTGGATCTCAGAGTTTGCGCTGGAGAGCGGCTGGGCGGAGGGAATTGTGGAGACGCTGCGCAAGGTGAAGATTGGCACGCTGCCGAGCAATGTGAAGTCGGCCTTTGAGGATCTGCTGTGTCAGCTCGTGGAGGCGAATCCCGATGTCCCGGCCAAGCTCAAGAAGGCCGATGCGCTGCGCGTCTGCCGGAATCATCGCCTGATGGAGTTGGGCAAGAAGTTGTTCGGCGACTAAGAGAGACAAAAAAGAAAGAAAGAAAGAAAGAATTGTGAATCCTTCAACAGACTTTTCTCTTTTTAGGCACAATTAAGCTTATATTCGAATAAACTGTATATTTATTATTATTTTGATAAATGAGAGAGAGAAAGAGTGGAAATTTATGTGTGTTTGCGAGTTGAGAACAAAGAGAGAAATTACAAGGGGGAAATAATGTGGGTGAAAGTCTTCAGGCACAGAGAAATTGATGAAAATATTTGCAATATTTCACTAATGAAAGCATTTTTACCAATTTAGCGCTCTTCTTGGGATTTCTTTGGATAATTTGGCAAAGGACAATCAATTGTAATGTTTTTTTCTAGGTTATGTGACTAATTAAAGTGAAATTAAGTGACTAAAAGCGTAAATTCTTGGACAGAAGTCAGAATTATTTCCATTTTTATGGTGAGAATTGTGTTTTTGTTTTAGTTTTTGAATTTTTTATACAGAATAATTCGAGATTCTTAAAAAGTCGATCATAACCTCAAAAATATCTTCTTATTTAGATCATTTTACATTGAAAAGTTACAATTTGGAGCTCGTAAAGAAGAAATAACATTTCATATCCTTTGATAATGGCCATAAAAAGATTAGAAAAGGTTCAAGAAAGAGTTCATAACCTCACAATTGGTAGAAACTCGTATTTTCGACTCTTTAATGGTTGTGCAGACTTCAGTTACATTATTTTCCCCTTGGAGAAATTCTGCTTCGTGAAAAAGTGGATCATTTTAAATAGAATTTCCAATTTTCTTATCGCTTCTCCTCCACATTATTTGGATTGTGGCCAATTCTATAAATTTCCAACAGTGGCGTTGCGTTAAAGCGCGATTTTGCTTCGTGAAACATCCCAAAAAGATAAAATGTAACCATCAACATTGACATTATTTGCGTGGAAAACTCAAACAAACTCTCGTGACTCATTGATTTTGCTTGAATTTCTGTTTTTCTCTTCCTTTTTGTACTAAAGTTTTCAATTTTTCTCTATCTTTAAGTGGACAAAATGTGAGTAATAAAGCGAAAATGTTCCCTAAAAAGCGGCCTTTGTTCTCGTCTGAGACTTTTCAGAGATAGTTTTTCACGCTGAGACAGCAAAGTTTAGACTTTCGTTGGTGTGATTCGATAGGAGTTTTCTAAAAATAACAATGAACTCTCGTGTATTTAGTGTTTATTTAGAGAGAGAAAGAGAAATCTTTCCAAGTGAAATGAGAAAATGCGGACTGAAGAAAAATTGGATGAAGTTTCTGCGACACAGAATCTCTTCTTTCTCTATCAATGTTGAAAGATTTTCTCGACAAATACCTTTTCCACCGGATATTTATTTATAGTCAGCAGTGATAAAATCCGGTTGAAATTGGCGTTTTTCATCTCCATATTTAACGATTTTCTTGTGACCCTGTAAAGACATGTCCGTCGATCTTTGGACAAATCCGATGAATCCTTCGAAGTGACGTCACTGTCGCCATTTGTGCTTTCTAATCAAAATATTTTGCTAAACAACCCAGAAAAACAGTTGAAAAGAGGGCAAAAGCACGTCCTTGATGAAAATATACGAGTGTTTAAGTCATGCTTTTCCTCCCAGAGTAGAAAAATTCTATATGTTTCTCATTTGCACGCTGAGAGTGAGAGATATTTATTTAGATCTTTTGATGAAAGATCTCTCGTAATTACTCTGCAATGACTTGCGAAAAGTCCACCTCAAGCGTACGTAAGAGCAGAAGAGATTCACGATAAGATGCCAATTTTGCCTTGCAGCTCGTGGATTTCCTGCAGGAGGAGCACGCGATGAGCCGTGAGGCTGCTCTCGTGGCCACCTCGACATTCCTGCGCGCCTTCCGTCGCTGTCCGGACAATGAGGAGCTCCCGCTGGATGAGTGGCGCACTCAATTGTGGGCAGACGCCCTGCCGGAGCCCTTCAAGTGTCTCAGCGGCGGCGTGTATCGCACGTGGCTGCAACTGCGGCTGCGCTACATGGAACCGACCGCTGAGACAGTGAAGCTCCTCGAGTCCCTGCGAGCGAACTTCCTGCTGGCGCTGATCACGAACGGACCGAGCGCGGCGCAATGGGAGAAGGTGAATCGATTGAATGTTGCAAAATACTTTGACTGTATCCTAGTGTCTGGCGATCTGCCGTGGGAGAAGCCCGATGCCCGCATTTATCACGCAGCGTGCAATCTTCTGGGCGTCCAAGCGCAACAGTGCATCATGATTGGGGACAAATTAGAGACTGATATTCAGGTATGTGCTTCTGAGTCATTTGCTGATGTGTTATGCCACTTCTCTCTCAGTCTCTTTTCGTGGCTCTTTTTGGGTCTCGCTGAAAGATTCTGTGCTGTTCTTTTCTTGAGTATATATTTTTCAAGAAAATCCCTTCTTGGTTGCGAGAGGATCTCACAAAATGTCATAGGTGTGCGTCTCAAAATGTAGAGTTGTTTGTTTTGCTGCTTGGACTAAAAAAAAACCTGAGAGTCAGTTAAGAAAGTATGGAAAAAATACATATTCTCTTCATCTTGAGGGTTTATTGGAATGTTTTCTCTATTTACAATTTCCTTATCTTTCACCTTAATTGATATACACGCTTAATTCCAAAAGACATCTTTTCACCATAACTTTAATATAATTTTTTCAGTTGGAAAAGAAATAATATAGTAAAGAGGAATGTTGATGTTAGGACATTATTTCACAAACACATTTATTTTCATGATAAGTGTTATGAAAGAGAAAATGTTAATCATTATAGGGAAAGATATTTATACTGAATATCATATATCGGTAAGTAAAAATTGATTTTTCTTGGTTTTATCATTTTTATATCATTGACAATAACAATACACAGATAATTTGATATATTTCTCATGATTTTATCTATGGTTTTGCCATTGTTGAGTGCCAGAAGAAATGCTAAATATGGTGTCTTTCTTGCAATTAAATTGATAAATTATTTGCAATATCCTTTTTGAATTGGTTCTCAAGAAAGGTTAAAACACATCTACTCGCTTTTTATTCCCAAAACAACATTCAATGATTGCTAAAAATCAAGCTTTTGCAAGCTTTCAAGTGATTTCCAGGTGACAAAGCGCCATATTTGTTCTGATCTTTCTTGAGAATTATCACAATTGCTCTCACCAGAGCATTGAAACCCCACAAAAGAGCTTTTGAAAGTGAGCGATAGCATTGTAAAATAATGAATCAACGCACAGGGTGGTAAACAAGCAAAGTTGGGGGCAACCTTATGGATCCCCCTGACAAGTGCCGAACGTGCCGAGCCAGAACTGGGCCTCATGCCTGACTTTACCATCCACAATCTGTCGGACATGCTGGCTGTCCTGCCTTGCGGGCAGCCCTGTGGACGCTATGCAGCCTCCAGAAGCAGGTGCTCATCCATAGGCACGTCAGCAGCAGCAGCAGCTCGCCGCTCAAGAGTGCCATACAATCGCCGGGTCGCCTCCCTGCCGGACTTGGACAATTGCAATAGCAACAGCTCTGACGGAAGCTGATCCGCCTGGAAATACTTACCAAGGAATCTATTCATCATGTTGAGAAGTTTCCTATTGATGTAATCGAAGAGTCTTCTGCGAGGCTCGATTTTAAGTTGTTGTCTAAGAACTCAAATCATCTTTTACCGCATTGTTTTGAGGTTAGAAGTTACAAGTTTGTTGGTTTTTTTCTGGTTGAGATTAAGTTTGCAATCGAAGTTCAAATTACATGAAATTCGAAAGAAGAAGAAGCCTCATTTGATTAGATTACCACTCGGCATTGCGCAAGAGATTCTTTTTTTAGAGAATAGTAGATTTTATTTTGTTTGTGTTCTCAATTCTAGTGTAACAATTCAAGTACAAATGTCAATCTGAGCCATATATTCTAATGATATAGATCTTTTTTGTTTTGAATGCCTGAATGGAATGACAAAATGATGCAATTTTGTGATGTTTCTTCAGTCTGATTTTGTAGAATGAGTGCAGTTTGTGGTAGATAAAGTGTAATATATAAATCAATAATTCAACCTAGGGTGCTAGTTTTGAGCGAGAGACCAAGGAAATGCAGTTGAGAGAAGAAATGTCTCGCAACTGTGAAGAGATACTGAATTTTCTGTACATATTTGCTAAGACTTTCTATAAAGTGATTTGCTGATGTTGCGCAGAGGCCATTGCGAAAATGTTCAATTAGATGAATTGATATCAATTGTGACTAAATACCTGAGAAACAACAACTAAGTAGCTCTTAAGTGGAGTTTTTGTAATGTGTAGAAGGAAAAAGTGTAAAAGAGGAGTGAGATTTGAATAAAGGTAAAATGACGATATTTGGAAATATTGAGTTTTTTTTAAGGATTGAGGAGAATAAACGACCGAAAATATTTATTAATGACCTTTTAATGCTTTTTAACACAAGAATCTTTAATTTCTCTGCATAAAATATTATCTGAAATACGCTTTACATTTTCTTTTCTCAATTTTCCTCTGAAATAAGGCCTAAGGAATGAAAATCTTGTGTCTTGGTAGAGTTATGTTCACTGTTTTCATTTTGTCTGTGGATTTGTCCTACGACAGCGCTGAATGTGATTTTCGGGACGCGATTTTTGTACGCTTTTGTCATATTCACCACTTGTTTGGATGTCAGACAAATTCACCTCTGAGAGAAGTTTTGGCGATTCCGGCCTCAGCGTCGATGATTTTCTCGCTTTTTCGTTCATAATTGTACATTCTAGTTCGTAGTGTTGCTTCGCAGAGTTTAGTGAATTGTCTGGGCGCCAGTAAATGCGCACAAGCGAAGTCATCAGAGTCTTTTGTATGTGGGAAAACTCCTGTTAAATCTTGCCATCAGAAATTGAGGTTAGTTCTCGTGGCGTCAAATGTAAACAGGAATAAAAGAGTGCCTGAATTTGCTGAATTTCCTGACTTTCAGGCTGCGATGGAGGACTCTTTTGTGCTGTCGCGCAAGGGATTGATCCGGAAGAAGGAGAGCGGGCTGTTTGACGAGTCCTTCTCCGCCAGTCAGGAGACTTCCATCAGTCTGGCCAATGCGGAGATCCGGAAGCTGCTGGAGGAGGAAAAGGGGCGCGAGAAGACGGTGCTGGATGTGCGGCAGTACATTGGGCGGATGTTCGACGGGCTGGAGATGGAGAAGCCCGAACTGGGGATTGTCAGTGCGCCGGTGAAGGCGGAACAGCTGTACACGCAGTTCCTGGAAGTGCTTCAGGGACGCACGAATGACGCCGAGCTGTTCGAGACGATCCAGGATCTCATCCAGACCTGCACGGACACCGTGGAGGAGATGCAGGCGCAGGCGAAGAAGGTGCTGGACAGGAGTGGGCTGCGCGAGGAGATCCAGAGTCTGCAGACGGAGCGGAATGTGTGGCGCCTGATCTACAGCCTGTACCGCGACAGGGTGATTGTGCAGAAGGAGGCGATGGACTGCGATGACATCCCACTGGGCGGCAGCGAGAAGACCATCGTTGAGCACTTGTACGCCAGCAATGCGAATCTCAGGGAGTATCAGCTGATCGTGGACTGGCTGGAGTTGTGCAGTCTCGAGCAGAGCTCCGTCGGTCACTTCACGGATCACACGGTGGCGTGGGAGAACACGCTGCATCAGCTGCAGAACAGTCGCCAGGCGCTCGCTTTCCGCAGCAAGAATCGCGAGATGGTGGCGAGTCTGGATCCGGATGCGCCGCAGCGCGAGCGGAAGCCACTGCATGACTTCGACACGGAGGATCAGCAGCGCCTCACGCGCGACGTGTTCCTCAAGATCCGCCAGGGACGCATTGAGGAGGCGCAGGCGCTGTGCGAGCACTGCGGCCAGCCGTGGCAGGCGGCGCTCCTCGAGGGCTGGCGCCTGCATCACGATCCCAACTACGAAGTGCTGGGCGGCATGACGGAGAAGGCGCAGATCGAGGGCAATCCGCGCAGGGATGCGTGGAAGAAGTTCGCCTGGCGCATGGCCGACAGTCGGCTGGGCGATGAGTTCGCGCGGGCGATTGTGGGTGTGTTTTCCGGACATCTGGAGTCGCTGCTGGCGTTGCCCGAGTTGTCGTGGCTGGACGTGATCTGGGCGTATCTCAAGGTGCAGATTGACATCCGCGTGGAGAGTGAGATCCGCGATTGCAGCCTCAAGACCTACATTGCCATGCCGGAGGCGTACTGGAAGGGGAAAGTCTCCCTGGAGCAGATCTTCGAGAACATCGCGGCGCACCGGAGCGAGCGGATCCGGCGCGAGGCGGAGACGCTGATGAGTCAGGTGGTGAAGCACGTGATTCTGGACAATGTGCCGCATCTCATGCAGGACATCAGCGAGTGGCTGGCGAAGGAGAAGCTCAGCGGCCAGACGCTGCGCTTCCTCGCCCACCTGGTGCTCTTCATGCGCCAGATCGGGCGCTCGCACCGCGAGGACGTGGCCGACAGAGTGGTGCGCGCGTACGTGGAGTGGCTCTTCGGCACCCAGGACGCCCGTCTGGTGGCCTTCTACAGTGCCACGCTGCCCAGTGACATGCAGACGATGCTCTTCTCCAAGTTCCTCGGCCAAATCGGCGGCACCGAGGAGCGCCAGCGCAGCCTCGAGGAGGCGCTCAAGGCGGGCCTGGACGTGGCCACGATCGCCGCCACGACAGTGCGACAGACGCTCGGCACGGAAGTGGAGGACGCCGTGAAGATCGACTGCCTGGAGCTGCTCACGTTCTATCCGCAGCACCGCGCGGAGCTGCTGTGGCAGGGAAACAGCCTCATTCGCGCCCTCATCGCCGCGCGCCGCGTCGAGAGCGTGCGCCGCGCGATCGAGTGCATCCCCAGCGACTCCCTGGACGTGCTGGCGCAGCAGTTCGGCTCCAAGGAGGACATTCCGTGGCGCGAGGAGTGCGCCATCAAGGAGTTCCTCTGCCATCAGACTTACCTGTCCGCCATCGATGGCTTCAACGCCTGGACGCATCTCTTCCACAGCCGCCCGAAGGCGCCCGAATCCCGGACGGGCGTGAACTTCACGGAGCGCGTGGCGCAGCAGGAGAAGGAGAAGGCCTTCGCCGCCGAGCTGCAGCTGTGGAAGGAGGCGCTGGAGGAGCAGACAAGAGGTGAGTTCGGCCATTTTGAACATCGAAAACATGTTATTTTCTTTATTTGCTCAGTTTCTACTGAATCGATTGGGATCAAAGTTTAGTATTCTTTAGTTGGCAGTGAAATCTTTCCAACGACACATTACTTAAGGATCTAGGACATTTAGAGTCCTAGATTTTAAGAATTGAAATTTGATAGTAAATATGCCCTAATTCTGTTTCTAATCGTCCGATCGCGATGATTTTGGGCTCATTGGAGAGCTCTAGCAAAACGCTTTTCTTCTTCCAAACAGTATTAGTTGATACATTTACCACTAGGAGCGCTAAGATCAAGATTATTTTTTAAAGTTTCAAAAACACGCTTGAAAATTGATTGATTTTACTTGTTTCTTCACTAAAAGACGCATTTTATTGTGTTTTGGTACATTATATCCGCCATTACTCCGCCATATCGAATAAACTTTGAGCGTCTTTATCTTGGCAAATCTATTGTGCAATTTAATGAGATTTTAGTGTATTGTAGTCCAGACAAAAACGTTCCTAAAAATAGGTTTTAATGTGGAATTGAAGTTATAGAATCTGAGTAATGGCGGATCAAAGTTTTGACTTTTAATACTCTATAAACTTTGGTTGTATTTGTGTGATCTTTCTGATCTTGGACTCGTTGGAAAGCTCTTGTGAAACTCTATGATTTTTCAAAAGACTAAAATGTTATCTGTCTACCGCTAGAGGCGCTACAGGCAGAAAGAACATTTTCAAGATTTCAAGATCAAGATTTTGGTTTAAAAATCAATTTTTACAATTTCAAACACTTTTTCCGGGCTTTGCAGAGACGCGCGATCTGCTGTACAACATCCTGGTGTTCCCGGAGCACGGGTGGCTGGTGGATCCGGAGTGTCTGGACTCGGTGGAGATCCGCGACAAGGAGGACTGGCACCTGCGCTCCGTGCAGATGGACGCGCTGCGGCGCCTCTGCATTCCGGAGATCGTGCTGCTGCTGCACAAGGTGCTGCACCTGAGCGGCGAGTTCCGGGAGTGCGTGCGGCTGATGGACGAGCTGGCGTCGGAGCAGCACCGCCTGTTTGAGCTCTTCTCGCAGCACAAGCTGGCCGAGGTGCTGACGAAGGTGGCGGAGTCGTCGCTGGCGCTGATGAACGACAAGTGCGATCCGTGGGGCTACTCGACGATGTGAAGAGGGGGCGGAATAAATGTTGTTTCTCGCAAATCTCGCCGGCAGTGTTATCAGTCGTGTTATCACGCACACAGCTGGCCGAGCGCGGCGCACGTGCGAGTGTGTGCGTGCGCGCGAAAGGGGGCGGAAACTCACCACGGCCACTTCCCCTCTTCCGCCGATGGTGGAGACTTTTCTGACACCTGACAGTGAGCTTGTCAAATCGTGTGTGTGTGTTTTTTGTTGCTGGCGACTATTTACGCGATTTTCACGCTGATCTCCTGCCCGAGGAGTGCAAATTGGCGTTTGTGCGTGCTGCAGAGTCCGCGTGGTGTCGATTGCTGGTGCATTTGGCGGCGGTGATTGGCGACGAGTGGGCGAAAAGTCAAGTGCAAAAGGCCAAGTGATCAAAACATCTCTGAGGAGGAGTTGAAAAGTAAGGGGCGCTCGAGAGAGGGGCGAAAATCCGCTCTCGCGCTCGCTCTCTCGGGTGGCTCTCCTGGAAAATTGGGGTGGCTTCCGATGGGCATGACGCCATATTTCCACCCGAACACAGGGACACACGGAAAACAGTTTCCTCGGGGGCGAAGAGCACAGCTTTTCCGCCCCGTGTAAACATTCCGCGAGAGCGACTGTGCTCGGGTGGATGCCGGGAGTGCTGCTGTGTCCTGATCTCCTCCTCACTCTCTCTCGCCGTTGACTGCGTGCCGCCCCGCCCGGTGGGGGCGCGCACCCTGAGCCACACCAGCGAAGCCTCCCCAATTTGGGCGCTTTTTGGCGGTTTTCTGGCAACTTCTCGGGCAATTTCTCCAACATTTCCCGGCCTCAGGGGCGCCCCGTGCCGCCCCAGGAGCGCCTGACTTGACGCACGGGGCTCTCAAATTGCTTATCCCAATTACCGGCAGATATCAACAATTCATCAGCAGCAGATTTCTTGCACCGCAAAAGCCCGCAAATTCCAAAAACCAATTTTCCACCTCGACTGAGGGCGTAATCCCTCAATTGTGGGGGCTGTGCTTGAGACTCAGAGTGTGGTTGGTGAGCAAGTGCGCGCGAAAATTGAGTGTTTGTGCACAGAGAGACAAGGAATTAACAGCCAAAAGAGGATTAATAATCTTGGGGAGTAAAATTCCGCGTGCAGGAAAGTTAATCATCTTGAGGAACACTTGCTGAGGACGGAGAAGAATTCAGCGAAGATGGCAGAGGACGAGGTGCTTTTCGACGAAGTTTACGAGCTCTGTGAGATTATTGGCAAGTGAGTAGCACTCTTTCATTGAGTCCCATGTGAGACGAAGACTCCATCGAGCGATGGAGGAGATTAAAGAGGAAAATCGGGGGGTTTTTAACTCAAAAAATAGCTTTTCTTCTGTCTGACTTGGAGAGGTCACGTGCTCAGCACGAGTGGCGAAGACTCGCGTCCAAAGATGATAGCAAAATCGATGCTGAGACATCGGGAAAAGTGTGTGGAAAAGATAAGAGAGATTTCAGAAGACAAATAATAAATAAAAGAGAGAGAGAAAAATCTCGCCTAATGGATTTCACACACGAAATGTGTTATCGAGAACTTTGCTCAGCTCAATAAGCTTTCACTCGGGGATTAACATATATGTGGCCGGCATAAACACATTGAAAGCTTTGTTATGGACACAAACGGATATTCCGCCAACTAAGTAGTTCGGTGGCCTAATGAGATTTTCGGATGAGTTCGTGTGCAATAAAGGATGGAGAATTTGCAAGAGATAAAAGGCCAAACAATGGTGTGTTTTGGGCAATTTTGCCCTTCCCGGGGAGAGTTTCCATTGGGAAAATTGTTAATTCCTGAATGACAACAGAGATTTATATTGTTGTTTTTAATCAAGATTCTGCCTGAATTTGATGAATTCAGGGAGAAAAATAGGAATAAATCTCTTTTATGACGTAAAACCGAGAGTTTTTGACAAATAAAGACAACATATTTTCAACCTTAGCGTCTTATTCCACTTGTTTTCTTCTTATTTTGAGGTTATCGACAGTTTCAGGATTAATCAGTCCATATTTTTCTCTAAAATTGTATTTTTTAAAGGGAATTGCAAGTAATTCGTGTCGATAAGTTCAATAAAGTGCGAGAACTGCTTAAGATTAAGACGAAAATGAGTCTTTTTCGACTCATTTTGGTACAAAAACGATTTTAATTTAATGATCAAATTGCTTTTTTTGAAAATCAAGCTGACAGCTTCTAATTTTAACCCTTATGGTGAAAACACAGCATTTGTAATTTGTAATTTGTCCACGATCATCTCTTTCTTCCCCACGCGTATCGTGTATTTTCCTTCCTACTCGCACAGTGGCTGTCTCGACATGTCAGAGTCAGACGCTGACAGAGTAGGAAGGAAAATACACGAAACGCGAGGGGAAGAAAGAGATGATCGTGGACAAATTACAAATTACAAATGCTGTGTTTTCACCATTAAAATCTTTCTAAGAACAGAATAGAGTAGAATAAAGTTCTTTTTATACTTGAAATTGTGGTTTTAAATATTTTGGATTCAAAGAAATGCCAAAAATTAAGAAAAAAGGTTCTTTATCACAATTTAAGGGGAAAAATAATGAAAATAGACAATATAAGGACCAATTAGTCCTCTATTTTCTCTAAAATTGTGTTTAAAAAGGGAATTGCATGCAGTTTGTGTCGATAAGTGTCGGTAAGTGTCGATAAGTATAATAATGTTTGATAACTCCTTAAGATTAAGACGAAAATGAGTTTTTTTGGACTCATTTTGGTACAATTTCGACCTTTAAAGTTCTTTGGAGTCCTTTTTAGGCTTGAAATCATGGTTAAAAAGATTTTGGATGCAAAGAAATGCCAAAAACTAAACCAAAAGCTTCTTAGAGAAGAAGAAAAACACTAAAATATCACGAAAAAGACACAAAATCCAAGAATTATTTGAAGTCTTTTAGACTGATTGATGAGCTAAATTTTCCACTTTGTGTGTTGAACAAAATGAGAATGAATAATAAATTGTCGCAAAGCATATTTCGCTTTCTTGGAAAGATTTTCTTGATCTCAAAATGCACACAGAATGGCTTAAAGACCCCTGAAATTGTGCTGCGCTCGTGGAAGCGTTACTCATCGCTCTGATCTTTTGCCACTTGATATCACTGGTTCACTTTGGATACGAATATAAAGTTATAGCATGTCTTTTGCTTCACTTCAATGGGAAAATTATAATTTAATTGATGTGTCGCGACCCCAATTTTCTACCAACATTTTCGTCAATTCACCGAAAGTTGCGATAAAAAGTCTGTTCAATGGACTGTTTAATTAAAATTCCTTTTCATCTCATCATTTCAATGGATTCGCTCGCAATTTTCTGTTATACCAGCTGTAGATTGTTCCTTTGGGAGGGGGTGGAAAATTGCATTATGTGCGCGCCTTTTTGTGTGTGTTTGTGTCCTGTGGAAAACGCTGTTCGCGAGCGCGCGAGAGAGAGAAAGTTTGTTGTGCCTTGTTTCCCTTTTAGTTGCAAATTTCTGTTTGTGCTCAAAATATTACGCTAAAAGAGCGGCACTAATGCATGCTAATGCGAGGAATGCAAAACTGTTGTGTTTTTTTATTGTATTTTTACTGCGGTGTTTGCAGGAGTTCCAACAAAGCCTGGAAAATAGCCTTCCAAACTCATCCTTTGATGCGCGAGTGAGAGTTATTAATTTATTAATTAAGCAGCAATTTTGCAAACTCAATTTGCATCTCATTCGCACTCTTCTGCTCCTTGTTCTTCACAATCAATTTTCTCTCGCATACAATTCACATTTCTGCCGCTCATTGGAAATTAATTAAATTCATAGTCAATTGAAGTGTTGCGAATGATGATTTTTTTGCCAGTTGAATTTCACGTTTTCATACGCGATTTTTCAGAAGTTTTTTTTTGAAATTGAGGAAACTTTTTAATTATTAACACTTAATTTGACCTTTTCTCATTGCTTCTGATTGAATTGATATTTAGCCTTGTTTTTAGACAGTTGAAACTTTCGTGAAATTTTAAAAATAATTGCATTTTCAGTGAAATTCTGGGAATTTATATGAAATTTTTGAATATTGGAGCAATTCTCAGTAACACACAGGCATGTTAAACTTTAAATGTGTTACAGTTTAACATAAGAAATGAATAAGGAAAAACGGCCCTTATTATTATCACGAGTTTAAAGCGATACCACAATGTGTAAGAGAGGAAAAATTGTGAAATTTGCCTAAATTATTAACATTCAAGAAAATATTGAGTAAATCCACGATAAAAAGAAATTACTGTAAACATTATTCATGTTTATGCTTGAAAATTAGAGCCACAATTGCAGATTGATCCATTTTTGCAAGATATTTGCAGATTAAGATCTGGAAATCGTGTTAAAATTACACATTCAGGCGATACAAAATGGTTTAACAAATGTTGGCCAGAATAGCAAATAACACAGTAAAATTTTTAACACAATCGCAATTTAGAATCTGACATGGGCTAAACCAATATAACACTATTTTTTAACATATTTTGTGTGACTGAGAATTGCTTCAATATATTATAAGAATTTGCTAAATAAATTATTTCTGTATTGAAAACTTGTATTTTTATTTGAATATTGAAAAAAGTTATGTTTTGCCGGACTTTTATTGTTTTATTATAATTTTTATTGCCTTATTTTCGATATTTTGGCTTTATTTTGTTCAAAAATATATGCAAAAATGATCACAAAGTGATTAAATGTTGGTTTTTGGAATATTTTGTAATGTTTTCTTCTCCACCGGGGAAATAAAACCGAATTTCACACCTTAATTTCAACGAATTTCCACAAAGTGATCCACTTTTCTCGCATGTGACTTTGAGATGTCATATGAAGAAATTTTGTTTACTTTCATATTTCCGTAGACTTTTCTGGCTTGTTGAGTCGCACATAAAGAGTGGTATTTTAAAAGAAGGGAGGCTTTTCCGAAGTAAAAAAAAAACCGGTGGCTTCGTTTGTGGTTGCGAAGGTGGAAAAGGAAGAGTTTACTCTATGAAAAGCCAGTTAATGTCACGTTTGCAATTTTATGACCATTAAGTCTGGGGCGTCTAAGGCGCGTGTGTGTGTGTGTATTTTCTGAAGGAAAAAATATGAACATTTCATACATCTTGACTTGGGTTGAGTGTCGTCGTTGTGGGAAAAGGAAAAGTTGATAAATTCCGTGGCGGGGATTTTTTTTTCTTCAGTTGTGCTCATGTTATTTCGTGTTGTTTACAACATTTTCCATTACTCACATGATTATTTATTAAGAGCTTTTACACAGAGAGAAGACCAGAAAATGGGGGTTTTCACCAGAATGCGCTTCTATATATCTCTCTCTGTGGATTGCACAGAAGGAAAACTTGTGCATTTCATTTTGGGGGGAAATATAATATGAAAACAGAGATTTAAAATTCAATGTTGGGTCATTTAATATTTTGCTACTTGATAGAGTTTCACATATTGTTGGGTTAATTTTGAATTTTGCCCCAGGAATTGTGTTATCAACACTTTGGACGGCAATGAAAATTGCATGATAACAGAGATTGCATTATCAATTATTTTATTAATCGATTACTTCATAATGCAGTTGTGGGAAAAGTGTTGCAATTGCACATGAAAGAGAGAGAGAGAGAAAATGAGAGACAAACTTAATATCAACTTTAAGGCCGTTTGGGAGGAAACTTTCATGAATAAAATTCCAGCATGAATTTGAGAAAAGTGTAACAGAGTAAATTCAGCTTCTTACAGCGCAACATCGTGTCTGTATATATAGCATTTAAAGAAGGAAAATTCACAAGTTTTCCAAGTGCTAGGAGAAACTTTAATTGAAGTTTTTCCCTGAATTTTGTTGTCCTTTGAGAATTGCAACTCACGAAAATGGATTTTTCGGCTGCAGAGTGAAAAACTTTGATGGTATTTTTTGTAAAATGTCATGGAAAATGCAATATTCAAATTGAATTGATGATTAATTGCAATCAATTCTTGTTCCAGGATTTAAAGGAGATTTTCTTCAATTTCTCTGGGCAATCTAACTAACTTTGATAGAATGTTTGTCAAGCACTTCACTTCTTTGGCAATATGAATACTTTGTCAGGCATATGAAGTGCTTAACTTGTTGATTTGTGTATGAAATGATATTTTCCATGGGATATCCGACGAATAAATGGCAGTTGATTGACTATCACGAAGTCTCTTCTGTGTCTGTATAAAGAGAGAAAGAGGGAGAAAAAACGACGATAT